GGAGGTGGAGGGCGGCGGCGGCCTGAGTGGCGGCGGCGGCGGTGTGGGGGAGGTGGAGGCTGGCGGCGGCGTGGGTGAGGTGGTAGGAGGCTGGCGGCGGCGTGACCGTGAGTGGCGGCGGCGGCGGTGTGGGGGAGGTGGAATACGTGGAATACGGGTGGAATACGGCAGAATACAGGCCTCTGGGAGGTCATTTGGAATACGTGGAAAACGTATTCAGACAGTAGGGTGAGGAACCCCACACAACCCTAAAAAAGAAAAGCAAGCGCCGAAAACCCGTTCTTCGATCAGATCTCACACGACTGCACAATGGAAATGGCAAATGCGCGTTCGGACGGAAGGGACGGACGATGATCACCGCGGCCGCGCGACCTGTGTCTCCCGCGGTTCAAGAGCCGGTCGCTGGCCGCCAGGTCCCACCCGACATTACGGCGTACCCTCCGGCTTCGTGTCAGTCGCTTATGACCCTCGCCGGGGTGGCGTCCCTACAGCTTCATCTCCACTCGGAGGCAGCAACGCGCGCTCCAGCGGTGGAGCAGGTTGCGAGAGATGCGGAGCTTATGCAAGTGCGCGTGGCTGAGGCGGAGCAGGCTGGGAGGGATGCGGAGCTCGCGCAGGGTTGCGAGGCCGCTGAGGCTGCACCTGCGAGCACCTCTCCCGGGGAGGTAGCGACGCGGCCCGGGAGAAAGTGCGAACCGCGCAACCCCTCCACGGGCAGCTTGCGTCAACAGGTGGTGGAAAAGTGTTGCCCTAAGTGCGGCCCCTTCAAGCGGACATACGACAGGCTGGCCGTGGGGAGCATCGTCGCATCGCTTAGGTTGAACGGGCCGATGGGGGGTAAACGCCGGCACTTGCTGCGGGGCAAGGAACTCTGGCTTTATCTGTGCAGAAGGCACGATCATCATATGTGCTCGTCCGAGATCCACAACGTCATCCGCCGGGACACTCGGCACGTGGTGAGCCAGGGAAAATGGAACATATCCCGGCCTGCAGTGCCTGGTGAAAATCTGCCGTCGTATACGCCCACACCGTGTTGGACAGGTTCTGAGGGTTGAACTTGAAGCTTCTGAGGGTTTGACATTCCACAGACCCCCTCAGCGATCTCTGATAGTGATAGGTAGGTTCTAGGTGTACTGGGCGCCCTGACCCCTGTCTATCCACAGTGGTCAGTGCACAGAGTCACAGACTGTGTGAATCCGCCAAAATATCTGAAGATCCTACTATAGGATTCTTCAGCTCCAGCCTGGGGGGAAGGCCAGCCCTGGGCAAAGAAACCAGTACCTCAACCGGCTTCCCTGAGCGTCACAGCTCGGTCAGTGATCGCGCCGGCCGGACACCACTGTAACGTCCGTTCCGGGCATTTGAACGCGACCTTCGGGGGCAAAGACATGGGCTCTCTGGCTCAGACACTGGACTCCTCTTGGTCCCTTCTGATGCCCTAGGCCACACCTGGGCCTTACCTGGGGCTCTAGGGGGCGGGCGGGGTTTGCCCCCCAAACTGGGGATCTTAAAAAAATCGCGGCGCCTACAGTACACGCTTTTGCCCTGGGCGCAGCCGCCTCGCTCCCAAGGCAATGGACGACGCCTACGAGTTGGCGCCGGCGCGCCGGCGTGACGACAGCGCGATGCACATGCCGACCACGAGCGGTCCAGGCGCCGACGCCGAACCGAGCGTCAAGCCGTCCTGGGCAAAGAAATTCGAGGAGGAGAAGAGCGGCAACAAGCCGGAGCGGCTGCGTGGCAGGGTGGTGCGGTGGAACGTCAAGGGCGGCTGGGGCTTCATCCACCGCTCTGACGGGCTGGGTGACATATTCGCCCACCAGCGGTCGCTGCACAAGACGGGCTTCCGCAGCTGCGCCGATGGCGAGGAGGTCGAGTTTGAGGTGGAGGTGGCGGCGAGCACGGGCAAGCTCGAGGCGGTGCGCGTGACCGGCCCGGGCGGCGCCGAGGTCATCGGCACGGAGCGGCGGCGCCGGGCCGGCGGCTCCGACTCTGGCTCAGACGAGGAGGAGGAGGAGAAGCCAAAGCCTGCGCCCGCCGAGGCTGCTGCGCCCGCCGCGCCAAAGCCGCCGTCGCGGCCGCCCACCGCCTTTGTCCCGCGCGGTCTGAAGCGGCCGGCGACTGGCGGCGGCGGACGGAGCATCCCGCTGCCCAAGGCCAAAGCGCCCAAGCCGGCAGAGACGGCGACGCAGTCTTTATCGTTGGCCGATGCTGCGGCCGCCGATGTGGCGGCCGCCGCGGCGGCGGCTGCGAGGGAGGGGGACGGCTCCATATAGGGACACACTCGCTCCATATAGGGACGATCGTAGAGATGAGAGAGGCCGCGGGAAACGATGCGTCTCCCACATGCGCAAACTTTTTAGTGCGTGTGCCGCTCTACCGCGGCGGGGTCGGAAACGACAAATTTTCTATAATTTAAAATAGATCAGCGCGCCGCGCGCGACGAGACCGACAGGACACCGCGCCCGCCCCGACGAACCAGCCGCGCCCGGGGAAGCGGGGTGTCGCCAACACACCGCCCGCGCGTCCGGGTTCCATCTCGAATCTCCATGTTGCAACATTGGGCGACTGATACATATGCAACGCAGGCGCTCAGTCCGGGGGCTGGTGGCGTCGCGCGAGGAACTGAATCGCGACTGCAGACTGCACACTCTCACCCTGGAGAGCTGCGCTGGTGGCGCCTCCGAGATGGAAGCAGGGAGCGGGACGAGGCGGCCGCCGTCCGCCGCTCAGCAGGGCGAATCGACGTCCCCGTCCGCCTTGCGCGTCCCCGCGCTGCGTGCGGGGGGAGGGGAGGGAGCAGCTCAGTGAGCAGCTCAGGCGCGCTCGGGACGTTGTGCGGGCGGAGAGGGACGCGCGTACCGGCGGAAGCCTCCTCCCGTGACCATCTTGCGGTCCTGCCACAGCCGCATCATGCGCAGGCAGCCCATGTGCTTCGCCTCCGCTGCCAGGTCCATCGGCGTCTTGCCGTCTGCGTCGGCACCCTCGGGATCGCTCCCGGCGTCGAGGAGCGCCTTGACGCAAATGCCGTGGCCGGCTACGGCCACGTGGTGCAGCGGCGTCCGCTGCGCCGTGTCCACGGCCAGCGCGTCGGCGCCGGCCTCCAGCAGCATCCGTATGATTGGAACGTGGCCAGCGCGGGCGGCGGCATGTAGCGCCGTGCAGCCGTCGCTCGCAGCACACGCATCCACGACGCAGCGGTCATCGGCGAGCCACGAGCCTATCGTCGCTGTGTCGCCCGCCGTCGCCGCTTCGATTACCCGCGTTGGCAGTGTGCCGGAGGCAACTGCGTTGGCCTCGACGTCACCGAGGACTGGAGAACGATACTTCTCTCCCGGCGGCCGTGGCGGCTCGCCGGAGCGACAGCAGCAGAGGAGCAGCAGCAGGAGGAGCAGCAGGGCGGAGGCGGCGGCAACCAAGAGGCGCGGCTCGTCGCCAAAGGGGGGCGGGAGCTCCATCAGAGCGCTCTGGGCAGTGAAAAGGACAGACTGGAGAGATGAGTGGGGGCCGGGATGGCGCCGCCACCTCAAGGGACTTGTTTTTCTTTCTTTTGCACTTTCGAGTTCTCTATGTATGTGCGATTTCGGGGCCCGGGGTTGTGCGTTTACCTCAACAACTTGTTTTTCTTTCTTTTGGAGAGAAAAACAAGTTCGAGTTGAATCACAGTGCGATTTCGGGGCCCGGGGTTGTGCGTTTACCTGCGAGCTGACTGCATCTACTGGGCCGCGCGCGGCGAGTGCGAGAAGAATGCCGACTTCATGCGCTCAGAGAAGGGCGACTGCCTTCCCTTCTGCGAGGCCGCGGCGAAGGCGGCGGCCGAGAGGGATGGCGGCGGCGAAAGAGGCAGGGAAAGAGATGGCGACGGCGGCGGCTGTGAATCACAGTCTCGCGCCAGAGGCAGCGTCTTCCTCTCTGGCACCATCGAGGAACGGAGGGCGTCTACGCCCTTTTCGGAGCCCTGCTCCACCTGCCTCCGCATCCTCGTCGGCCCCGCCCACTTTGGTGGCCGCACACACCAGCTCCAGCTTCACGCCGTGTCGCTCGCGCTAGCTGAGCGGGGCCATGCGGTCACGTACGCCACGGCGCAGGAGACGGAACAGCAGCTGGCGCCGCTGCTCGGCCGCGTGCGTATCGTCGGGGCGGCTGAGGAGTGCTGGCCGCTGCGGCTCGACCTGGAGCTGGCGCTCCGCGCTGCACGCGGCGAGCCCGAGGCGCAGGTGCGCGCCGACCTCCTGGACGCCGCCTGCGACGCCGCCGAGCGCTTCTTTTGCGACGAGCGGATTCGAAGCCTGGCCGACGAGCACTTTGACGTGGCGGTAGTCGATGTTGGCGCTCTCAGCGGCCACCTGCTCGCCGACGCGCTGCACCCGTCGCCGCAGGTGCACTACATGTGCTACCCTCCGGCTGCCGGACAGGGCCAGGGTCGGACAATCCTCGCGGCGGCCGCCGCCGCCCGCCGCGCTGGCCCTCGTCTGCAGGCGCTCCGCGCGTCGGTGGGGGCGCCTCCAAAGCAGGAGTGCAGCAAGTGCCACGTCCTCACCGTCGTCGGCCACAGCGCCGCCTTTGTGCCGCCCGACGCGCGCGCAAGCCTGCCGCTGGGCGCAGAGAGCTGCTGCGGCTCGGTGCTGGCGTCGCAGCCGGCGGAGCCGCTGCCGCCGCCCCTCGCGGAGTGGGCCGACGCGGCGGGGAGCGGCGGCTTTGTCGTCGTCTCGCTCGGCTCGTGGGCCGACGGCGCGTGCACGGCGCTCGGCAAGGACGGCGCCGTGCGAGACGCGCTGGCCTCGCTCGGGCTGCCCGCGATCTGGAAGACCACTTTTTCCTCCTCCTCCGGGGCGCCGAATGTGCGCACCGCGCCGTGGCTGCCGCAGCGCGCGCTGCTGGCGCACCGTTGCTGCCGCCTCCTCGTGTGCCACGGCGGCGCCAACTCCATCTCCGAGGCTTGCGGCAGCGGGGTGCCGGTGGTCGCGCTGCACGTCGCCTGGGACCAGCCGCAAAACGCGGCGAGGGTCGCGGCGCTCCGACTCGGGGCCGCGCTGCCGCTGTCCGAGTGCACCGCCGCGTCGCTGCTCGCCGCCATGCGCGGCGTGCTCGACGACCCGGAGACGCCGCGCCGCGCCGCGGAGATGGCAGACGCGATGGCGAGGCGCGACTCGGGTGCCCAAGGCGCGGCGAGACTGGTGGAGCGCGCAGTGCGGATGGCGGAGAGCAGGTGAGGGCTGGAAAAGAGTCTCGGTGTGAAGGGTAAGCATTCTGATGCTGCCCGCCATAAAAATTGGTTTACTTCTTTTCGTGCGAGGGAGCTTTGTTGTCCTTCTCCCAACGGGAGCGGGGAGCGCATCGCGACACGGAGGGGGGCTGGGCTTCGTGCGAGGGATTTCCCTTCTCTTTTTTGAGAGCGCCTTCGTTGTTAATAGTACAAACCCAAGCACTTGGAGCACTTGGAGTGCAATCATTAGCCTCACATCCAGCGAGGGCCGGGGAGCCCAATCTGCAATCTCCTTCTCCAACAAAAACTCGCGATGTGCCGCCGCTCGCGCCGCCTCGCCACCGCCGCCACCGCCGCCCCCTCGCCAGACACGCCGCCGCCCGCACGCCTCCTCGACCTCCCCTCGGAGCTCCTCGAGCGCGTCCTCTCTCGCTGCCACAGCCCCGCCGACATCGCTCGCGTCGCGGCCGTCTCGCTGCTCTTTCACGACTCGCTCGCGGAGGAGGGCATCCGCTTGCGGGCGCAAGAGCGCGGCTATGAGCTGCCGGCGGTGCCAGAGGGTGAGGGCTGCGCCGTGCGGTGGTTGTGCTATTCGGCGCTGCTGTGCGAGTCCAACCCGCCGGCGAGGGCGGCGGCAGGCCAGTCTCACAGCCTCTTCATTGACGGCGAGGGGCGGCTCTCGTCGTGCGGCACGGAGGGCGAGGAGGACGAGGAGGAGGGGGACGAGGAGCGTTCAGGCCTTCTCGGCCACGGCGAGGGCGTGCTGCGGCTCAACACGCCGACCTGCCTCCCCTCGACGCTAGGCAGCGAGCGCGCTGTGAGCGTGTCGGCTGGACTTTACCACAGCCTCGCCATCACCGCCGACAGCACTGTCTGGACCTGGGGCTATGGCTACTTTGGCCAGTTGGGCCACGGCGACGAGCAGGACCAGCTGCTGCCGAAGCAGGTCGAGGCCTTGGCTGGCCAGCGCGTCGTCGCCGTGTCGTCAGGAGGCGGCCACAGCCTCGCCCTCACCGCAGACGGAAGTGTCTGGAGCTGGGGCCATGGAGACGACGGCCAGTTGGGCCACGGCGACATGCAGGGCCAGTCGCTGCCCGAGAAGATCGAGGCCTTCGCTGGCCAGCGCGTTGCCGCTGTGTCGGCAGGACACGACCACAGCCTCGCCATCACCGCCGATGGCAGCCTCTGGAGCTGGGGCGATGGAGGCATGGGCCGGCTAGGCCACGGCGACGAGCAGGACCAGCTGCTGCCCAAGAAAGTCGAGGCTTTCGCTGGCCAGCGCGTCGTCGCTGTGTCGGCTGGGTGCGACCACAGCCTCGTCATCACGGCCGATGGCGCCGTCTGGAGCTGGGGCGCAGGAGGCAATGGCAGGCTGGGCCACGGCGACCGGCAGCGCCAGCTGCTGCCCAAGAAGGTCGAGGCCTTTGCTGGGCGGCGCGTCGTCGCTGTGTCGGCTGGGAGCGGCCACAGCATCGCCATCACCGCCGACGGCGCCGTCTGGAGCTGGGGCTGGGGAGGCGGGGGCCGGTTGGGCCACGGCGATGAGCAGCGCCAGCTGCTGCCCAAGAAGGTCGAGGCCTTCGCTGGCCAGCGCGTCGTCGCCGTGTCGGCTGGAGTCGCGCACAGCCTTGCCATAATCGCCGACGGCGCTGTCTTTGCCTGGGGCGAGGGCGAGTGCGGCTGCCTAGGCCACGGAGAGGACTTGTCGAACCAGCTGCTGCCCAAGAGGGTCGAGGCGTGGGCGTAGTGAGAAGGTCGGGGCTCTGGCGCCCCTGGTGCGCACGAGCGCGAGGCCGACTTGGCTCTGGCGCATCTCGACCCTTTCGATCCGGACAGGAGCATTTCATTTTCTTTTTTCTTTTTCTAGATGAGATGGAGAGGGGGGACGCGCACTGCTTCTGCAGCGTGCACCTCGCGATCCTGTACCGTGTTTGTTATGACCCCCCCCAACGAACATCTTCTTGGTCGCCGGCTCCGCAGCTGGCGGCGCGGCGGCAGGGGCTGGCGGCGCCGCAGCAGGGCGGCTCGCGGTCGCGCTCGCGGGCGGCTCCGTGGCCTGCGCCAGTGCGCCTGCCGCTCATGGCGGACAGCGCGCTCGAGCTGTGAGTGCGGGTGGAGCTGCACGATGACGTCGCCGCCCTGCGTCGCGGTGAAGGAGACCGAGTACGGCGCGTCGCCGTCGTTCTTCTTCGCCCGCGTAGACGAGCGAGCGCGTAGACCGTAGTCGCACACCTGTCGTTGGTGGTCAGTGAATCTGCTCTCCGTGCAGCGCTCGGCGGCGCCGACGCGAGCGAAGTGCCGCTTGAATGCCGCCATGCGTTCAAACTTGCTAGCCGGATCATTCAAAGAAAGCTGTTCTTTGCGCTAGGATTCCATAGCGGTGTATTTCTTTGGTGCACGGAGCTAAGTGCCTCGCCACCCTCGCAGGAGTCGCTTAGGCGGCTCCCGTGGTGTACCTGTGTTCGTGCCAGTGCGCGCCAGTCCCGTGCCCAGTGTTGTGCGAGGGAGTTTTGTTGTAAGATTCTTCAAAGAACGATCGCAGTGCCCGAGAGCATCGTCTTTCAGCTCCCTCCGCCGTACGCTACGCTCCCTTCGGAGAGATCCCCAGAGTCCTACCGCGCTCCGGATCCTCTTTAGCTCACGCCCTAGCAACGGCCCGTAGCACGCATGTTCCTGCTGGCCCGTCTCTCTCTGAGTGTCGTGCCGACGCGCCGCCTGCTCCCGGCCTGCCGTGCACTGCGCACGACTGCGACACTCAAGGCTGACCTCCCCGACAGCGAGGACGGATGGCGGACGGTGCTTTCGCCCAACCAGTTTGCGGTGCTACGCGGCTCTGCGACGGAGCCGCCAGGGTTCAGCGAGCAGGTCGAGGGCGAGCTGGAGTACACGCTCAAGGGGAAGTATAAGACCAAGTACCCGTCCGAGGGCGCGTATGCGTGCGTCGGCTGTGGCGCACCGCTGTACTACGCGCGGCAGAAGTTCAACAGCGGGTGCGGCTGGCCCGCCTTCTACGACGGCGTGCCCGGCGCTATCGAGGAGCGGCCGGACGCAGACGGCTCACGCGTGGAGATCGTGTGCGCCACGTGCGAAGGCCACCTCGGCCACGTCTTTAAGGGAGAGGGCTTCCCCACGCCGACGGACGAGCGGCACTGCGTCAACGGCATCTGCCTGAGGTACGAGCCGACGGCGGAGCAGCCGGCCGAGGTGCAGGCGATCCCTGCCCTGACACCAAGGCAGATCCCGGACTGAGAGCCGCGGGTAAATGTGTCTGTAGAGCTCTCCTTCAGCCAGCAAGCAGCATCACGTAGCTAGCCACCCCAATAGAGAGATAGCGAAGTGATGACGATGGAAGCGGGAACCAGGAAGCTTCTATTCAACCACGATTCGCATTTTCCATTCCGCTCCAATCCGGGAACGCGACCGGCGCGGGTGCCGGTGGTTGCAGGTTGGGAGTCTTGGGCGTGGTTCGAATCCACACGAGCCGAAGGTGATGGGTTGAGGGCTTGAGACTGAAGCTCACCCAGTGAGGAAGTGAGGAACTGCTCGGTCCTCAGGCTCTGTCCTCTGATCACATGCTCAACAAGATGCTCCTCTCTTGTGTAGCATGCTCTCGATCGGCGGTCACACCGCCCTACGGGCTACGGACACCGCCGTCACTCCGTCACCGCCGACATACACATCTCCCAGTGAAGATGGTGGAGAGAGGGGATGACACTGCTTCAGCAGCGTGCACCTCGATCCGGTGCCGTGTTTCTTTCACAGCCTTGTTATGAGAAGGTGCGCGACACGCAATCACGCAAGTGTTGCGAGCAGCGTTGTTGAGATGTTCTGCGCAGAAAACCAGCCGCGCAACTCTCGCGCCGAAACGTGCTATGCCGTCGGTAATCCCAGCAGATGACCTGCTGCGACGCGGCTCGACTCGCGTCTTCTCATGCACTCCTGCGGATGGCACATCTCTCGCGCACGAAGCGGGGCCGGCACAGCTCAAGCGGGCGCAGGCCCACCACCGCAGCGGCGGAGGTATCATTAGTGAACAGCCGTCAATATCGTGGGCGTCTGTTGCAGCGGGCATGATGCTCGTTCGCAGCGGCAAAGTTAGAGGGAAGCTGGAGGCCACGCTCCTCGGTCGCGCGCGCTCGACCTGGATGCCTCTCGCACCGCAGCTGGGCCTGCTCCTGCTGTCTAGCTGCGAGCCCGGCGATGACGGCGCTGCCTCGACGCCAGACTGGCTGAGAGGGCAACAGCTCGCCGGTGGCGGGCCAACGGTCCGATGGAAATGCTACGTCGGCCTCGACCGGCTCGGACAATCTCTATGGCGGAAGACAGCGGCACTGCTGCAGTCCCTCTCGGACGAGTTCCCGCAGCGGGAGTTCTACCTCAAGATGGACTCCGACGCGATGATGTTCCCGCGGCCCCTTCTCCGCTTTTTCGAGTACCTCCGCTCCAACAGCCCGCCCGACGCGCCGCTCTACTTTGGCAACAACCGCATCTCGCAGCGCGCAAAGTTTTGCAGCGCGCCGCACTGCCTCCTCCGCTCACCCGCGTGGCTGGAGTTGACTCGCAACGAGAGCTCCGTTATCGACCAGGCCGCCGCCACCGCGCGTCAACACGAGGCACCGTCGTATGCGCAGGGCGGCTTCTACGGCTTCAACCGGGTTGCGCTTTCGGCGCTCACACGCGGCCGCTGCCTCGAGGGCGTGGCTGCCGCGGTGGCCGCGTACAAGCCGGGCCTCCACCTCTTCGAGGACGAGGCGGTCGGGCTCTGCATGCACCTGAGGCGGGTGCCGCTGCTCACGTGCAGCTGCTTCTATGACTGGGGCCCCTGTGACATCCGCCAGCCGAGCAGCTGCCGTGCCGACACGAACAAGACGCAGATCTGCCGACTACCGCTCTCGGTGCACAAGCTCAAGGAGGTCTCGTGGTACGACGGCTGGTGGAGCTTCATCGATGGCCGCGAGCAGGCGGCGCTCGCGGCTCTCGACCACTGGCAGGCGCACACAGCGATGCAGCACGGCGGCGCTGAGGAAAACATGCGGCGGCGGCAGCGGCGGCGCTCCGGCGGGCACGGGCTGAGAGTGCTTCGCGAGGAGGGCTCGCGGGCGGCGGAGACCGCGCGCCTGCGACTGCACCCGCATGTGCGCCTGAGAGGGAGCGATTCCGATCGCAGCCACGCCGCCAGTAGCCAAGAAGGCTTCGCTCTCATTGGCGAAACGCGCTCGTGCGCGGCGCGTGTGGCCGCCCAGCTGACTCCGGACTTGTCCCCGGCGCTGCCTCTTGCGGACTTGGGGCCAACGCGCAGCGGGCTGTACGTCCGGCCGCGCACATCGGACCACCAAGTGGTAGCACAGGTGGCGCACGAGTACCCCTCCCTGGTCAAGGCGGTGCTGCAGAGCGGTTTGCCCGTGCGCGCGGTCCTGGACGCGGGCGCCAATGCGGGCTACTCGACGCAGGCGTTGGCCACCGGGCTGCCCGGCTCGTACGTCGTGGCGCTCGAGCCCGAGGCCGACAACTATGCGATGCTGCGCCTCAACACGCGCGGCTTGCCGAACACGCTGCCACTGCGCGCGGCGCTGTGGGCGCCAGGAGCGACGCACGTGCAGCTCTACAACGGCACAAACACCCACACGGCGCGACAGTGGCAGTTCCGGACGTTGCCGCTCGCGGCCGAGGCCGACACAGTGGGCGGCGGATCGTGGGCGGCCAGACGGGGGCAGCAGTGTGCGGGCGGGTGTGCGGCCGGCGCAGCCGTGCCTTCGGTGCCGGTGCCCACGCTCCTCGCACAGCTATGCTTGCCCAGGTTCGACCTGGTCAAGATGGACGTCGAGGGCGCGGAGGGCACCATCTTCGCCGCAGGCGGGGGCGAGCTGCAGTGGCTGAACGGCGTCAGGTTCCTGTACTTCGAGGCCCACGAAGGGATGGCGCCCGGCTCCGAGGCCCGCACGCTGGCCGCGCTGCTCTCGCACAACATGACCGTCCTCGCGGCGCCCGACGAACGCGTGTCGGACCACATCTACTTTGCGTGCGGGCGGAGGTCCGTCGCCGACGCGCTCTGCACTGCCACGTGCATGCAGTGGAGGGCCTCGTCGAGGGCGCTGCAGGGGATGTGCGCGGCTGTGACGGATGCCGCCACCGCGGGCGCAACCTACTCGAGCGTGTGGAGACGCAGGGTCGGCAGGCGACGCGCCCAGGGAGAACGAATCGGTGAGTGAGGAAGGGGTAACGGCTTCTCCTTGCGTGTGTGAGAGAGGGCAGCTGGAGAGAGTGTGTGTGCATGTGCGTGCGTTTGCTAGATGAGACGTGAAAACACACAGATCTCTGGAGTGGAGGGAGCGACGGGAAAACCGAGAAGGCGATACACTCGATAAACAAGACAAGAGAAAAAGAAAAACGGTTGCAATGGCATTCTCGCTCCTCGCGGGCGCTATCTCGCTCCTCGCGGGCGCCCGCGCACCGCGCGTGATATGCTCATCGGCCAGCGCCGCGGCCGCGCCGCCCGCACCCGCCTTCGCGCCGCTGCAGAACGACCTGATGATCCGCGCCGCACGCGGCGAGGAGGTCGAGCAGACGCCGGTGTGGCTCTTCCGCCAGGCTGGCCGGCACCTGCCCGAGTACACCGAGTACAAGCAGACCAAGGGCAAGAACTTTCTGCAGCTGCTGCAGAGCCCTGAGGACGTGGCCGAGTGCACGCTCCAGCCCGTGCGGCGCTACCCCATTGACGCCGCCATTCTCTTTTCCGACATCCTCGTCGTCGCCGAGGCGTTCGGCGTCGAGGTGACGATGCCGGGCGGCGTGGGGATCCAGGTGCCGGGCCACCTGACCGGGCCCGACGACCTCGACCGGCTCACCATCCCCGACGGCGAGGCGGCAGCGGCGGCCCTCGTGCGCGAGAGGCTGTCGCACGTGACCGAGGCGGTGACGCTGATCCGGACCGAACTCGCGGGCAAGGTGCCGCTGATCGGCTTCTCGGCGGCGCCGTGGACGCTCTTCTACTACATGGTGGGCGGCTCCTCCAAGAAGAACCAGGAGGCGGGCGAGCGCTGGCTGCGCGACCACCCCGTGGAGTCGCAGCGGCTGCTCGACGCACTCTGCTCGGTCGTCATCGAGTACATGAGCGCGCAGGTGGCGGCGGGGGCGCAGCTGCTGCAGGTCTTCGAGGCGATGGGCATGTTCGTCTCCGAGGAGAGCTTCGCCGCCGCCTGCCTGCCCAGCCTGCGCCGCATCGCAACGGAGATGAAGGCGCGCCGCCGCCGGCTGCCCGCCGGCCTGCCCTGCGCTGTCACTTGCGCTGCCCGCCGCCCTCTTCCCTCCCCCCTCGCCCTCCCCGCGCCCGCAAGCCTCGCCCCCCCGCGCTGCCTCTAGGCCCGCCACCGCAGACCTGCCGCAGCTCTTCCCAGAAGCTTCCCTTGACCCCTCCCGGAACCTTCCCACAGGCGCGCCACCCCGAGGTGCCGCTGCTCGTCTTCCCGCGCGGCGCCGCCTACTCCCTCTCCGACCTGAGGGAGGCCGGCTACGACGTCCTCACCCTCGACGCCTCCGCCGACCGCGACACGGTCCGCGCGGAGCAGCCGGGCGTCTGCCTGCAGGGCAACTTCGACCCGGCGCTGCTCGTGAGCGGCACCGAGGAGAGCGTGCGCGCCGAGGCGCAGGCCATGCTGCGCAAGCTGGGCGGCCAGAAGCTCATCGCCAACCTGTGCGAGGGCCTCGGCGGCAAGGAGAAGCCCGAGCTCGTCCGCGCCTTTGTCGACGCCGTGCACGAGTACCGCGACTGATGAGGGGGGGAAGGGGTGCGGGTTGGTGGAATGTGGGGGGTAGACGCTCTGAAGGCGAAAATTTCGCCCCAAATTTGGGCGCACGCCACAACAGCGACGCCGCCGAGGAGTTTGCTCCCGTGACGACACGTTGATCTCAGCTTCTCCTCTCGATGCCTGACTACGACTGGAATAGTCCCAACATTGGGTCGGCGATCGGCATCTCTGTCGGCGCCGGCCTCGCCACCGCGGTGGGCGGCGCTCTCGCCTTCTGCCCCTCCGTGCTCAAGAGCGTGCCGCCCAACAAGATCCTCGCAGTCGCGCTCGCGCTCTCCGCGGGCGTGATGCTGTACGTCTCCTTCATCGAGATCTTTGTGAAATCGTACGAGTCCATCGTCGACTCGGGCCAGACCACGGGCGCCGCGTCCGCCATCACCACCACCTGCTTCTTTGGCGGCATGTTCATCACAGTGCTGCTCGAGGCGCGCGCCCGAGCCCGAGCCCTGAGCGCATGGCCCGGTTCCTCACCCGCCCTGCGCGTGCCCGCAGATGTTTGTCGACTGGCTGCTCAAACGCTACGGCGGTGCCTCCGAGGAGGGGCACTCCCACGGCCTGCCCAAGACTGCGTGCGCGTGCGACCCAAAGGCAGAAGTGCCGACGCCGGACCAGTCGGCCGCCTCGCTGGACGGGGAGGGGGAGGGCGACACGGAGGGCGACGCCGAAGCCCCCGGCGCCAGCGCCGCGAAGCAGGCGGGCCCGGCGGCTTCGGGTGCGCTTCCCCCGTGCCGCCCTCCCCCCGCTCCTCACCCTCGCGCGCCCTCGCCGCACTGACCTCACCGTGGGTGTGCCTCACCGCGGTGTTCTGCGGCAGGCGTGGTTGTCGACGTCGGCGGCACGGGCGGTGTGGTCAACATCGTCGACGGCGGCGGCGGCGCGGCGAGCAGCGCCGAGCTCCAAAAGATGCTCGAGTCGGAGAGCGAGAAGAAGAAGCTGGCGCGGATGGGGATGCTGACGGCCCTCGCCATCGGAATACACAACTTCCCCGAGGGGCTGGCCACCTTTCTGGCGACCCTCGAGGACGAGAAGGTGGGCGCCTCCCTCGGCGTCGCCATCGCCGTCCACAACGTGCCCGAGGGGCTTTGCGTCGCGATGCCGGTGCTGTACGCCACGGGCAACAAGTGGAAGGCCTTTGGGTGGTCGCTGCTGTCGGGGCTGACCGAGCCGATCGGAGGGCTCGTCGGGTTCGCGATCCTGCAGCCCGTCTTCACCGACCTCGTCTTCGGCATTGTCTTCTCGATGGTGGGCGGCATGATGGTCTTCATCGTGCTGCACGAGCTGCTGCCCGCCGCGCACCGCTACATGGGGTCGCAGTGGAAAGCGACGGCGTGGCTCGTGCTCGGCATGTTCATCATGGCCCTCTCGCTCGTCCTGTTCAAGCTCTAGCGCTGGTCCGCGGTGCGCGTCGCTCGCCAGCCCGCGCGGCGAGGGGGCGCACGTCGCACCGCGCGCTAGCGCGCTAGCGCTCTGAATTGCACGCTCGTCCTCACGGTCTTCGGAGTTTGTACGTCAGCCGAGCCGTATTAACGTTTCCGGATAGATCTAAACCCCGGTGCCAAGGACGGTGGGGAAGATCCCGACCTTTGGAAGCATGAATGAGAGAGATTTTTAGCAATACCAAACAACTCTAACACTCACACGTCATTTGGGGCCTGGAGCCCTGTTCACGCGCGCGCGAGACGTGCAGACAGGGTTGCCAGGTGAGAGCGAATGGCGCGGTTCACGCCTCGCACAACAGAGAGAGAGATGCGCTCTGCATGGTGGGACATAAAAGAGAGCGAGTACTTGGGCGAGTAGGCCGTGCGGTCGACGCTGCCGCGCGCGACTTTGCGCGCGAGGCGGCGCAGCTTGAGAACGGCGGTGGGCGAGAAGCCGCCGCCGAACGTCTCGTGGAGCAGCAGGTTGAAGTTGTTGCGCTTGACAATCTCTCTCTCCCACCTGAGGGAGGGTGAATGAGAAGAAGAAATGTTGACAGAAACGGCGTCTTGATTCGCTCGATCCGTTCGCTCGCTTCGCGAACACAGCCGGGATGACTCCTCGCCAAACGCCTCTTCTCCTGCTCGCCTGCTTGGCCGCGCCGCTCGAGGCGCAGACCGCGGCGACGCCTCGCTGGTTCTCGACGCCCGGCGCTTGCATGACGGCCAGTGGCAAGGGCGCTTTCGACGAATATTGGGGCCTCTCGATACAGGACTGCAAGTCCCAGTGCGAGCAGGCGTCCGGCTGCCTCGGTGTTGAGTACACCGCGTTTGGGCCCAGCAGACCCGCCGGAGAGCGGTCCCGCTGCGAGCAGTTTAAAGACCTCCCGTTGACGCACGCCGTCCCCGCGTCCTCTGCCATTTGCCTCGTCGCCGACACGCCCGCGGCGAGGGCGTCGTGGAAGAGCAAGATTGACGGCCGCGCCGCTCATGACGCCATCGGCAATCAGATGATGAAGGGGCGCACGCGGCAGACGCACAGCAGCCACCGCAGCGATTGCATCGAGGCGCGCACCGTCGACTCCCTCCCTCCGCACCCTCCGACCTCTCGCCCCTCCGATGCAGACCACGCGCACTACCCGTTTCTCGCCTCGCCCAGGTGGCGAAGCGCGCCCTCATGGACATCACGGGGATGGACATGCGCGGGTGAGGGCCACGTCGCCACAAGAGCAAGACACACACGGCCGGAGGATAGGTGGAGACCAGCGGCCGTCCCCACCCCGGCTAGGTGTGAGCTCGATGGCGCGGACCTCTCGAAGCTCAACATGAACGGCGTCATGTTCGACCGCGCCGAGCTGCAAGGCGCCAACCTGGTCGAGGCCACGGCCGTGGGCTCCACCTTCTTCAAGGCCACGCCATCACACTCTCGCTAGCTTGCCTCTCCACGCACGCCACCCAGCGCTCTCGTCCTAGTACACCCCAGCTGTGTCGCTCTCGATACCCCTAGGCAGTGGCCACACAACACCCCTACCTAAGCTCGACCCTGCCCCTGCCCCCGCCCTCCCTTCCCCCACCCCCCCCACGGCCACGCCGCTGAGTGGCGCTCGCCGCGCAGGCTCTCATGGCGAACTCGAACTTCAAGAAGGCGGTCCTCTCGGGCTCGTCCTTCGACGCCGCCGAGATGAGCTATGCCGAGATGCAGTTCGCCACTTGCTCGGGCTGCACCTTCGTGGGGACAAACATGGAGGGGGTGCACTCACCCCACACACACGCACCGCACTCGCCGTCGCAATCCGCAAACAACCACCCTCTCTCTCCGCACACACAGCACAGCACAGACCGTCACCTCTCAACTGCTCACACTCACAGGCGATGCTTGCATCTGGCACCTTCACAGAGTCGAACATGGACAACGCGAACCTCGCCGGCGTGGTCGCGGGCAGCGCCGGCTTTGAGAAGGCGTCGCTCAAGGGCGCGAACTTGCGAAATGCGGCGCTGGCCGGCGCGAGGTTCGCGGAAGCGGACCTGGCCGGCGCCGACTTCACGAACGCCCAGCTGACGGTCCAAGGGGGGGTCGTGGTGGAGCTGCAGAATGCGCTCAACGTGGACAAGGCTGTGGGACTCCCGAGCGTTTAGAGTAGAGGATGCGATCCGCGCCGCGGCGCGCGCCACACACACAGTCAGACTCAGAGCATGACTCAGAGTCCGCAACGTACGACACCCAATGGGTGTCTCCGGCCTGATCTATTGGAGGTCACGGCGGGGCGCACATGTGACTCAGTTTGTCGTTTGTGACACATGAGTCATGAGTTGACTGTTGTGTGGTGTTGAGTCTTGAGATATACTCAAATTACACTACGAACCCTGGTGACGTGGCTGGTGAGTGGTGTGTGTGCGTGCTGACTGCTGTGGTGTCTGGAGCGTCTCGTCAACTCTCTTTTCTTGTTTGGTGCTTATCATACACACTCAACATTTTCAGCTTCCAATGTCTAGTCTTCCAACTTCTAGGCAGCAATCCAGGACGCAGGAGGTTGCAGGTTGGAAGGCTCCACCTGCACCTGCACCTCCGACTCTAAGTGTCTATTAGACTCTAACTAAAGCAACATGATGTAAAGGCTCACTCGACCACCCGCTTGAGCCTGGTGCTAGAGGTGAGCCCGCCGTTGCATCCACCGTAGGTGCCGGGGCTTTTGCCGACCTGCGCTCTCCGATCGCGGCTCATCGGGGACTCGCAGTCGGTGTCGATGTCGGAAGCGTGGTGCTTGCCCTTGCGCGTCTTGCGGCCGCCGGACCCTGGCTGCGGCGCACCGCCGGCCGAGGAGGAGCCGCAGCAGCGGTGGCGGAAGGCGAGCACGGCGAGCACGAGAAAGACGAAATACGCTCCGACGAGCAGCGCCATCCGCCCTCTCGAGAGTTCGATCCGAGGACGCCAGCGCTGCCACGCCACCGCGCCCGCCGCACTTGCGGACCCGGGTGAGCGATCCAAATCGCCGCCGTGGCCGTTGCCTGTGGCAGTCCTCGCCTCAAAGCCCGCGGATGGACCCGCGGCTGGCGTCATGGGGTCCTCACGAGTGGAGCCTACGGCGAGGGAGGCGCACGCGTATACACCTGTGCAGGCACACCGGAAAGAGGGGGGTGCACATGCGCGCCCTTGCCGGAGACGCTCCCGACGTCGATGCCGCCCACCTCCTTCCGTGTGCGCCCTGCCACCTGCGTGCCATCTGCGCCCTGCCATTTGCGCTCCGCCATCTGCGCCCTCTCCGCCGTCCTCGCTGCCGCCGCCCTCGCCATCTCTTTCCCTGCCTCTTTCGCCGCCGCCTCCCTCTCGGCCGCCGCCTTCGCCGCGGCCTCGCAGAAGGGAAGGCAGTCGCCCTTCTCTGAGCGCATGAAGTCGGCATTCTTCTCGCACTCGCCGCGCGCGGCCCAGTAGATGCAGTCCTCCGTGCGGTTGTCTGCTCGCCCGCGCTCGCTCAGAGTGTGGTTGTGGCACGACGCGGCGCACTCAAGCTCCATGAAGGCCGTGTTGCGGAGGCACTCGCCGGTCGCCACCCACTGCTCGCACATCGCGTTCTTGTCGGGGAGGGAAAACCTGTCCTTGCACGACGTGGCGCACTCCACCGACATGAAGTCCGCGTTCCGCGTGCACTCGCCGAGCTCCGCCCACTTCTTGCACTTGTCGCTCTTGTCCTGCGGAGGTGCGCCCTGCGTCGTGCATGAGCTTGCGCACTCGAGCTTCATGAACACCGGGTTCTTCTCACATTCGCCGTCGGCGGCCCACTGAGTGCAGAGCGGCAGCTTGTCTGGCAGCGGGACGCTCCGCCGTTCTCCAGAACGTTTTTTCGCGCACGACAAAGCGCACCGCACAGTCATGAAGTTCACATTCTTCTCGCACTCGCCGTTGGCGGCCCATTGAGCACACTCCTTGTTCTTGTCTTCGAGGCAGATCGCGGCTGCGAGCCAGTTCAGTAAGAGGTGAGCGCATAATCCAACCGAGAGCTGCATCGCAAAGTCGAAAACGTGCAAGCGCGACGGCGGTTCGGTGGCGTCTCTTCACAGTGTTATTGAAGGGAAATACGCACAACCCCGGGCCCCAAAACTGCACAGTGACAGTCAGACATGCAACACGGGGTCCCAGGGTGCAGGGGACGCAAGCGTCTCTTCATACTTGACGTCGTGGGGCTGCGGGTGCGCGTGCGTATGGGTCATGTGAAGAGGCCGGTGTCCGAGTGTCGCGCACACGCTGGCACACGCGTGAGAAGCTCTAGGGGCCAAATGATGGTGAGTGTTAGGTGTGTTATTGGCCTCTCTCGATGTTCTGTGGCTGCGCGTCTCTCGCGGCTCACAAGTGACGCGCGTGACGCCCACAGCGCCACACGCACACCCACAGGTGCACACGCACAGCGGGGTCAGCCGCACAACCCAGAGGCCCCCAGAGCGCAGCTGGCAGGTACGGCAACGGGTGTTTAGTTTAGTGTTTCGCGGTCCCCTCCAGCATTCGTTGATTAATTTGGGGATTATATGAAAAACGTGGTGCCCGCACGCCCTCCACCTCACTGTCACCGCGACGACAGCTTCCTCTCAGCTCACAATGCCCACGCAGACGTCCGTGATCTCACCTCTCGGGCAGCGGGACGAGGTGGATGTGCTGCGTGGCGGTGCACGAGGGGGGCACGTACTGCATGAACTCGCGCAACAGGTCGGGCTCGTCCGAGAGCAGCGGCCCGAACGAGCGGCAGAGGCTGAGCGCGCCGCTCGGCATGCGCGTGCAGCTCTGCGGCGTCAGCGCGGCGAGGGGTTCGTCGAACGGCATCGCGGCGAGCAGGGCGTGCATCTGCTCGAGCTTCCGCGGCCGGTTAGCGTAGCGCGCGCAGAGCCGCTCGACGAAGCTCGAGGCGAGGCCCACCGCCGCCTCTTGCGTGATCGAGCCGGGGTCGTCGGTGCAGGCGGCGTAGGCGGAGAGGCTGCGCGGGAGCGCTTCGACGCGGTACCCCTTTGGCAAAAAGGCGTTGAACTGGGCAAGGAGTGGGCGGTGGTTGGCGAGGCAAGCCGAGACGTCGCGCATCACCTGGCCGCGCCAGAGGGGCAGGCGGTGAGGGTGGGGCCACGGGCGCGGGGACGCGACACCAGAGGGACACGCGTGCGCGCGATACGTTGGCGTGCGTGTGCGTGTGCGTGCGTGTGCGTGTGCGTGCGTGCGTGTGGACGGCCCGGCCGGAGGCGCCGCGCCTCGACGGTGCCGGCGCGGCCCTCCTCGAACGCCTTCATCGTCTGCACGAAGCTCTTGAGTGTGGCCGGGTCTCCACTCAGGGCCTCGGCAACCTGACGGTGTGAGCGGCGGCGGCGGCGCAGTGAGGAGGCAGCGGGGAGGGCGGCGCGGCGCGCTGCTCGCACACCTTGAAGGCGTACCCCTCCGGCGTGACATCCGCCACCTCCACCCCCGCAGGCGCCGGGGCCCTAGCAGGCGCCGCGCCGCTCGGCTTGCAGCCTGGAGCCGACGGACGCCGTCCGGCACCGCGGCCTGCGGGGAAGAGCGAGCTCTGGCCGGCGGGGGACGCCGCCGGAGGGTCGGGCGCGGGGCACGCCGCGTCGAGCACCGCAGCTCTCCTCCTTATCACCTCCGCGTCGAGCACCGCAGCCTCGCTGGAGCCGCTGGCGGCGGGTGCGGGGAGGCTGGGGCGGGCGGCGCCGTGAGAGGAGGTGCCGCGCCCCCAGGAGAGGAGGACGGGCGGAGCTGCGCCCTGCCGCGCGACGCCCTTTAGCCGGAGCGAGGGCGCTGGGGCGGAGACTGGGGCGGGCGGATGCAACGTCGGCACCTCATCTGGCGCTCCCGCCTCGGGCCCGAGTGCCTCGAGGGCTGTCTGCGACCGAAACTCGTACCCATCGATCATGTTTACGTCGATCGTCACCACGGCGGCCGCGCCGGCCCGCGTCTTGCATTTCTTCTTCTTGTGCGAGCGGCGAACGGCCGCCACGACCCCTGAGCGCTCGGCGCACCGGCTCGCGTGCGCCTCTATCTTGTGGATGCTGAAGCTCTTCTCACAGATGGGGCACGTGACACACTGCGAGAACTGGAACTGGCTGCCGCCGGAGTGGCGCCGCTTCTCTCGCGGCGCGGCGGCAGAAGTGGACAAGTGGGCGTCGCTCGAGGAGCCCGCCACGCCTGCCATGGCGGGCCTGCTCACACCAGACCTCTTCCGGCAAAAAGAGAATTCTTATCCACTAACACTGGCACGACAAGGGCGCGGACTGGCGCGGACTGGCACACACAAAATAAAAAGAGAAATTTTCCACGCGCGGCTCCCTCCTTTTGGGTTGTCTGTTTTCTTTCTTTCAGGGCGGCTCGCACTCTCAGCGCCCACACGCACGCACACACACACACACGCACACACACACACACACACACACACACACACACACACACACACACACACACACATGCATGCATGCATGCACAGACACACAGCCCCTTCTCCTTCCCCCTCAAGGACGAGGACACACACAGGACGCACCTCTAGCGAGGCCCGCATAGTATGTGGGAGACTCCTGCCGCCGCCCCTGCCACCCCTGTGTCAGTGTGCCTGTGGGTTGCGTGCGAGAGACTGCCAGTGAGAAGCTGGAGGCAGGTCGCTAGACTGAGATGTGAGATGAGACCGCCAGTGGAGTTGGGAGTCCACTGTGCACCGCGCTGCGAGCCTGTCGTGGTCCCTTGTTCAGGAGCAGGCGGAGAGCCCCACCTTCTGTGCCCTGGTCGTCCTTTCCAAAATCCTGCTCGTGCAGGTGTGGACCCTGTCCTCCTCCCCCATCCCTCGTTTCACGTTTGGGTGCACTTGGAGCACTTGGAGTGCAGTCATTAGCCTCACATCCAGGGCCGGGGAGCTAAGAAGCGCACCCTCCCAGCGGCCGGATGATCGGGATCGGGTTACGGGCTAGAGAGCCCTAGCCCTGGGGGGTGCGCGTTCGCAGGAAAGGGCCGTAAAGTAAACACGGGTCTCCGAGGGTTGGTTCCGTGTTACCGGGTCTCCCCTTAACTGCAGAACGCCCCCTCTACTCGGAGCTAACGGACACACAACACTGTACTCCACGCACGTACACAGATACGCCTCATGTGCGCCCGCCCGACTCCGGTCCCCGAGTCCAGGCTTCGGCCGGACTGTACTCTCGAAAGTTGATCAGATACGACGCAGCAATGCGCTTTTGAACGCTCTCTTCGAGCGCCAGAGACTCCATGTCGAGCCGCCGCCGCTTCGCAGCCATCGAGAGCACCAAGGAGCAGGGGCTCGTCACTAGTGACACGCCGTAGCGAGAAAAAGAAAACGAGCTTCGAATATCCGCGATCGCCGCTTTTAAACACCGTGTAGATGGCACGCGGCGCACGCCGCGTACGCCTGCTCGATGCCAAAGGCTTTCCCGCCGCAGACACCCTCCGTGCGGTGCTCGGCTGGGTCACCGGGGGCGGCGCTCTGCTGGATCGGGCGATGAGCCTCGACTCGATCAAGGGCGGCACGCGCCTCACCGACTCGTGTGTGATCCCAGATGCAGCCAAAGCTGCAGGATCCTTTGTTGTCTGGAAGAGCAAGGAGCGGTACGGCAAGCGCTCCTACATACGCGTGCAAGGACGGCGCACCCACCCGCCGTCAGGCATGAAGAAGACGCGGAAAGACTTGACTTGGCCGCGCACAGGGTCAGGCCGCCTTCGCATAGTCCGACTGCACCGCTGGATATGTGCGGCTGTCCACGGGCCTCCGCCGAGCAAAGACCACGAGGCTACTCACATATGCGGTAATTCGGAGTGTATTTGCGCCAGCCACATCCGCTGGCAGCCAAAGCCCGAGAATCGCGAGGATGTGATTTTCCACGCGCAGCCCTGCCGTGCGGGGACGGCACGAAAGAGCTGGTGAGGCAACGGGAAGAAGGTGCCACAGCGCTGATCACCTTTTAAATAGCGCTCTTGATAACAGGGCAGGCAGTTCCCGACGGGGGACACCCGCCCCGGCCCGCTGGAGTAACCGAATGTCCTGTGGGGATCGTGAGTGTAGCTAGCGTGCGGCAGTGTGGGAGATGCCCTCGGGTCGCGTTGAACGCAGGCCAAGTCAGGTTTTTGCTCATGGTGCATTCACTCACACCACCGCAGTACAATCGATTGAGTCCGGGTTTTTTTATGCGTATGATTGTAAGGGCGTGGGGACCCGCCCCAGGACAGGCTCTGGCGTATGATGGAGCGCTCTGGTGCCGAGGAGAGCCGCTGGCACGAGGTAGATGTGAAGCCACGACGGGTCGATACAGCAGGCCGACCAGAGAGTGCAGAGTGAGCACTGCCCCTCTCCAAGATCGACTCCTGTGGAGAAGCCCGCCTAGGACCATCAAGGGGAGGCCAGGTACACTTGACCCGCGCAAAGAGCTAGATGCAGCCGTACCCATTCTACGGCCTCAGAGCGTATGCCTTGCCGCCGGACGGTGGCGGTCGTGACCTCGTGTCGGTGGTTGGGCCGTTTTGCACGACGGCTGTGGCGGCGCTCTGGAGGGGAGGGCGGCCATTTTCGGGTGGTGGATGACCGGCTTTTGAGGTCTTGCAACCCTAGCTGTGACAGCTTCGGACAGCTCGCGCAACCCTAGGAACAGCGGGCGGGCTAGTGTTGATGCCACTCAGCCCGGGACAAGACTGGGGTGGTGGAGGTCCGAAATCACGCCGCTATGCCTCGGCTCCAGCGAGGCCTCTCAGGCCCTAGCTCAGGTATATGCAGAAGCCGGAAGCAGGGAACACTCACCCCCCAGCACCAGTCTTCTAGGTGGAGGCGGGCCCGCTGGTATCGTCGGGAAGGTCGAGGAGGGTGGGTGGATGAGCGAGAACCTGACAAGGCCTGTACCGCCGCGAATACACACATGACCCGGCTGCGCATCCTCTGCTTTCACTCCTTTCGGCTCTCGGGCGACAACATGCGGAAGCAGCTGTTTGACCTCGCCAACCTTGGGGCGTCGCTCGCTGATCTGGCTACACTCGACTTTGTTGACGGCGGCCACCGGCTGGGCGACGATGCGCTGCCCGAGCGACTTCAGGCGCTCTTTCCGCCGCCGTACTTTGAGTGGTGGAATGCGCGCGAGGGCGCGGGCGGCACGGCCATCTATGACCACCTGGAGGCCAGCCTGGCAAAGGTGGAGCGGCACATTGCAGAGCACGGCCCGTACGACGGCTATCTAGGCTTCTCGCAAGGTGGATGCGTCGCACACACGCTCAGCCTCCTCTCGATGCGAGACCCCTCCTTCGCCTCGCGCGTCCCCGCCCCTCGCTTTGCCATCCTCCTCTCCTGCCGCCTCTCTCGCCACACCGAACACTCCGAGCTTGTCGCTGGCGCGGCTGCTGCGCCGCTGCCGCTGCCATCGCTCGTGCTGTACGGCGGCAAGGACACAGACGTGCCGCCGGCAATGACGCGCGAGCTCATGGCGACACTCGACCCCGCGGGGGTGCGCGAGATTTATTTGCCGCTGGGAGGGCACCGCGTGCCCAACCTGGGCGAGGAGGAAGTGGCGGTATTTAGGCGCTTCTTGAAAAGCGTACAGTAACAAGAAGCGAAGGCCGAAGCAGTAACTCACACTGCCACAGGACGGGGGCACGCTCTCACTATCCATCTTCTCTCGTGTACGGCTTTATCTCGAGGTGGCGGAGCACACTTCCACTTGCGAGAGGTTCAGAGAGGAGCATGTGAGAGATGTTACTGAGATGACAGATGTGCAGGAGATGTGTGATCTGTGATCTGTGAGGGGCCGCCCGCAGGCGCATTTTGTATACCGAGGCGGTGCCCGGTGCCGAGCGCAGGCAGAGCCCACCGGTCGGACCTTAACGCGCTTAAGGTCCTCCGGGCCCCTTTAGGGAGGCAAACCCTGGCCGGCCCTTAGAACCCCAGGTAAGGCCCAGGTGTGGCCTAGGGCATCAGAACGAGAAGGGACCAAGAGGAGTCCAGTCTGAGCCATAGAGCCCATGTCTTTGCCCCCGAAGGTCGTGTTCAAATGCCCG